GATAATAATGTGGGTTTATACACTCAGAACCGAACATTTTGACTTCTGAACTTGCATTTTCGGCATGACGCTATGAACTACAAAATCACACAGTGAGGAAAAAAATGGCAGACTATGAAATCCAGTTGGCCGGAAATACATTACCATAAATGGTAGTTCCGAAGAAAAAAGTGTGACGAAATAAACAATGAAACAAAATAAGCAACAGCAGATTTTGAACAAACTGAAAAATCCGACCCATAAAATAATATAAAAATATCTTTGCAGTAACTGGACAGAATAAATTAAAGTTTTCTACACTTCTAGACASTATAATTGCACAAAAAATAGTTTATAAATGTAAAAAAAGTGCATTTAGCATATGTCTCCTTTAAAGGGCTTTTATATAGAATGAAAATCTAATCAAGATGGACCATGACTACCCCCACCAAATACTTCAAAGGAGGAAAGAATATGCAGAGGTCCACAAAGTGCTGAAGGAGAACGAAATCCCATTTCAAACGCTCTATCCAGCCAGGTTAAAAGTGACATACAGAAATGGGACTAAAATCTACGAAACCATTGAGGAGGCAATGGAGGATCTGGTGGCCAGAGGCTATGAGGTGAGGATCGTCAAACCCTCGGAGATACTATTGAAGCAGATTAGACAGCTGACCTGGAGGAAAACGGAAAGGCGCACAAACAAGAGGATGACCACTTCAGTCCGAGACGACAGCTATAAGGAGAGGCTGAGAGCTTTCAGACATCCACCATCTGTTCCCCCGGCAAATCAATAGGCAGAAGGCTGGGGCTGTATTATACATCCCATCTTCCTATATCCTTTTGTGGATTTGTTCCAAATCCCTCTCCCTCTGACCTCAGGGGTTTATGATCACAAGTGAGAGGTRTGTTTAAAAAACAAAAAAATAAAATAAAATAAACAATGATATCCCACTGAACTACAGAGAAGTCTTGATTGGGTCCACGTTCAACATGCATCCTACAAGGGCCCCTCACATAAAGGACATGTGGAGGGATATTCCCTTAGAGCATCTGTTGAGATGCTCACCAAGGTCTAGTTCACAGATAATGGGAGTCAAACTGAATGGGTTTTGTTTGAATTTTTTTCAGGTGTTATTTGTTCATTTTATGGTTACTCATTTGTGTTCATTAGTGTGAGGCTTACTAAAATCTGGAGCGAAGTGGTGGGGGATATTACATAAATTAATAGAACAATAAAAGTGGCTTCTTTTAACATCAATGGCGTACTCAACCCTATTAAGAGAGAAAAAATATCAAAATGAAAAAAAGATCTAGTTCTAATAGCTTTCTTGCAGGAATCACACTTGGACGATGTTGAACATCTAAAACTAAATAAATCAGGATTTAAAATATGTAAACTAGAAGACTCATTCAAAATGTTGAGATGGTGCACCTACGATTCTGAATTTGAACTAACAAAAATGATGACAGATTTAAAAGCTGGTCCCTTAAGGGACTCACGTGCTACAATTCATTCATCCACAAGGGGTCATTTAGACGTTTTGAGGCTCTGGAAAAAGAGCACGATCTGGAAAAGGCTGATTTTTTACAGATACCTTCAAGTCAGACATCATTTTAACCAGAATCTAGAAAAAGCCTCAAGCAGTTGCAATATGTGGGATTTTTGGAGGTCTTCCAGTCATTAATGAAACCGGGACAATTTAAAAAGATGATTTCAAAAAATATACAATGGAATTCAGCACTCGAAACAAGGGAATACAGACTACATTAAGAAGAAGTGGGAGGCTGAACTAAACGAACTGATTCCAACTGAAACCTGGGAAAACATATGTCATCGACAGTGGACTTTCACAGCATCAAATGCTTGGCAAGAGCTCTGTTGGAAAAACGTCAGGTTCTTCATCTCACCGATTCAGAAGAGACATCTGGGAGGTGGAGATCTCTGCTGGACACAGGGTGGGACTGAGGCAGCCACACCAACACATCTTTAGGGGGTGCCAGCTTATCAGACGCTTTTGGGAGGAAATCCACAACCACGTAGAAAATGTTTTTGGAATTAAGATTGTTTTCACATGTACTAATATGAATATGGGTTATATACAACAGAAATGGAATAGAAATGATAAAAAAATTGTTTAATATACTTATGGCTGCCAGTAAAAAAGCTATCATGTGAAAATGGCTGAAAGTGGAACCACCTATCATTGAAGAATGGCTTGCTATTGAGCATGAAATTTATATAATGGAAAAGATCACATTCTCCCTCATAATTCAAAAAGATAAATTCTATAGTATTTGGGTAAAATGGTCAAAGTATGTAAAGCCTGTAAGGTCCGACTTTGTATAAGACAACTTGTCCCCACCTACACACTACTAAGGATGGGTACCTTTGACATTTGAATCGATTCGGTACCAGTATGTAACGGTACCAATTTTCGGTACTCTGTGTGCTTAGTTTTTTTAAATAATAAACTTTTTTTATTTAACATATTTCTCAATATATAAAATTTAACAAATATCAAAACAAAATCCAACTCTTTGTATTGTAACATCAGTTTAACTTATTTCTTTAAGGTGAAAACTCTTGAAAACAACAAGACTAGGGTTGGGTACCGAAACTCGGTTCCAGTATGGCACCGGGGCGAAGATCAACGGTAGTACTCAGACCGAAACACAACTCTAATTTCGGTGCTTTATTTCTGTCTCAAAGAAAGCTGTTAATTGCGCCATCAGGTGTTCACTGTTAACAGTGACAGACTCGGCACAATCTCCACAGAGTGCCAACAACAATAAGGTGAGTTATGAACTTTTAATGTGTTTTAACTGTCTAATTTAGCTGTTTCTGCCCTCTGTGTCGGACTATGTGTGGTAGAGAGAAAAGCTGTGTGTTAAGTTTCACTTCGAACAGGAGCAGAGCGAGCGCCATGTTTTTACTTTCGGTTTGACACCGCACTGTAATTAGCGTGTCCACATTGTTTTTCTTTTTAAAAAATGCTGGAACTGCTCACAGGAGGCATAGAAGAACACCTGTATTGTTCTCCCTGCTGGATTAAAATAAAAAGCTCTCGGTCCTTTCTCTGAGTTGCTCTTACAGTTTTATTTAGGCCTGTTGTTGTTTTTGCATCAAAAATGCTGGAATATTAAAACAGTCATTTTATTTCATGTAAAAAATATATTAATCTGATTAATATACAAATAAAAACTGAATATTTAGCACTAGATAAAATAAAACATGATTTTTTAATTTTTTTTATGTTTTCTAGTTTTAAGTTAATATATTGGTCAATTTCAAGTTTGACTTTGCCTCAGATAATCATTGCTTCATAAATCTCTGTGTGAGTGTGTATTTTATTTATTTTTAAAGTACCGATTTAAATACAGTTTAGGAACCGGTACCATTTTGAAAGTATCGATTTAGCACCGGTATCGAAATAAACCCTTTCAATACCCAACCCTAAACAAGACTGTTTTGGCTTATTGCATAAATTAAAATCCAGCTCCACATATTTCTATTGATGTCATTTCCCCACTAGAAAAATTGTGTGATGGAGGTCCATGGAAGGCAAATAAGTTAAAATCAAATAAGCAAAAGAGGATGGAGTTAAATTAAATAAAAAGTATTCAAGCTACGTTTTGCCCTTGCGTGATGCTGCGTTCAGGACAAGCATGGAAAACTCACCACTCTTACTCCAATACGGTCACAATGCTGCATTCAGGACAAGCATGGAAAACTCACCACTCTTACGCCAATACGGTCACAATGATGCGTTTAGGTATCAAAACATGGTACCGTTTGATGTTACATGAATAGGTTCTCGATAGTACCGACAGAATTTGGTCTGTACTTAAAAGGTATCAAATTTGGTACCCATCCCTACACACTACCTTTATTGTAAGATACAACACTGTGTTTACACCAATGTATCTTGTTGTCAAGCCATCCACTGCTTTAAATGTTTTATTTTGGTTCATGTTATTCTCCATTCGCTGTAAATAGTTATATGCTTTTGAATTGTCTAACCACCAGCAAAAGAAATAAAAAGAAAATTACAAAAAAAAAAAGGAAAGAAAGTGGGATGAGAAGGATGAAAAGATTGAGGGATGAAAAGGGGATGGATAAAAAGAAGGGATGAGGGGACGGAAGAAGGAGTGAAGGGATGGGGGAGGAGGAGGAGAGATGGAGGTGGTGCGCAGAGGAGCCTAAGTGGGGCGAAAGGGGAGGGTGGGTGTTCAAAATGGCGAGCCGAGGACAAACGCCAGGTGAGATGAGTTTATATAGACGCTGGCTGATTACACCGGTGGAGGAGGCGTGGTCCTGCTCCTGAACCTAAGTTAACATTTTAACTTCATTTTTAGTACAGCCTCATACACAATTAATGATTATGATCATATTAAAGCAAACAGAGCTCTAGTATCAAAATAGTATCGGAAAATAACCTAATTCAAGAATGTGATCAGAAGTAAAATATGTGGGTGATTCATCCCTAGTTTGCATTTTCTATTAGGGCTGGGTTTAAAAAAATCAAAAAATCGATTTGAATCGATTTTCCTTTGAATGGCCCGATATTGATTCATAAAACCCTTAATCGATCCTGTTAATAATTCTTTCCCCCATAATGCTATGCGACTTCTGGCGTGACGCGCCTACGTGAATAGCGTAACAAAACAGCATGGCAAAAAACCCTTAATCGATCCTGTTAATAATAATTCTTTCCCCCATAATGCTATGCGACTTCTGGCGTAACGCGCCTATGTGAATAGCGTAACAAAACAGCATGGCCGAAGCGTTGCGAGCGCCGCCAACAAACTTGAAGGCAGATGTCTGGAAATATTTTGGATTTAAAAGTCACGAAGGCACAAACGACTTGGATAAGAAGAACCAGCAAACGGTATGCAAGATTTGTTACATTGAGGTGAAATATTGTGGAAACACGACGAATCTCCAAGACCATTTAACGAGACACCACCCAGAAACGCAATATGCTTCTGCCTCGATGCAAATGCAGCTTGAGAAGGCATTTGGATGCAAGTTACCCACAAACTCCCCGCGAGCCCAGAAAATAACRAAAGCTCTCGCTACGTACATCTGCAAGGACATACGACCTTWTAGCGTAGTTGAAGACGACGGTTTCCGCGACCTGGTGAAGATTCTGGAGCCACGCTATGTTTTACCCACACGTAAACAGTTAAGTGAAGYAACAATCCCAAACATGTATGCAGATGTAAAACATGGCGTTGCAACATCACTTAAATCAGCAGCACGTGTCGCGCTCACCTGTGATTGTTGGACATCCAGAGCAACRGAATCATACCTGACCATTACTGCTCACTACATTGACGATGAGTGGAATCTAATGTGCTGTGTCCTGCAGACTAGAGCAGTTGTAAACAGCCACACTGCTAGTAATTTACGAGATCTATTGTACGAAGCCATAGGGGAATGGGATCTGACAGACAAAGAACCAGCCATCGTAACAGACAATGCTGCGAATATTGTCCGTGCAGTGGAAATGATGGGCTTGTTGCACGTGGGCTATTTTGCACACATTCTCAATTTAGCTTCACAAGCAGCACTCAAAGTCCAAGCAGTGGCACGCCTGCTCAGTAGAGTGAGGCGCATCACATCGTTTTTTCATCGTAGCACTACAGCAAGCCACAAGCTTAAAGAGAAGCAAAAGTTACTGGGCCTGCCTCTACATAAGCTGGTGATGGACGTGGTGACTCGCTGGAACAGCTCAGTGGAAATGCTGGACCGTTTCTTAGAGCAGCAACCAGCAATCTCAGCAGCTCTGCTGACACCTGAAGTACGCAGGAATGAAAAGGATCTCTGCACCCTGACAGAGGCTGACATAACAGTTGCAGAAGATGTTGTGAAAGCTCTGCAGCCACTGAAAGCAGCCACACTGGTCATGTCTGAGGAAAGATCCCCAACTCTATCAGTCATTGCACCTCTGCACGCACAGCTGCTGGACCAGATGACCTGCACCCCCCACAACTCCACAGTGATTAAAGAAGTCAAAACTTCTGCATATGACAACTTAAATTC